TTTTTTTTTCCCCTATAAAATGCCTTATTTTTTAAACTTAAAGTTTGCTCCAAACATCCAAGAAAGCAGTATCATGTATGCTACAGTCATAGATGAATTAAATTTTACCAAAGACCTCTACATGGATTTAAAGAACAGTTTGAAGTTCAAGCTCCTTGAAAACATCTCAATCCGATATACAATGGCATTTTGGATTCAACAAAACAGCAACTGAAATTACAGGGTGGGAGCCCTCCCAGCTGATCCAGCAATCACGGTGAGCAAGTTGTTGCCAAAAGGATCACTGAGGTGTTTTGCAAGGTTCTCCACAGGACCTTCTCCGGTGACATAAGCCTGGAAGTAAAATCCGAGCATGGCGAACATCGCCAGCCTGCCATTCTTGATTTCCTTCACCTTCAGAATTGCAGCCTGGTCAGGATCCTTGGCCAGCCCCAATGGGTCAAAAGGACCACCGGGGTGAAGCTGGTCCTCCAAGCCCTACCGTGCATAATAAAAAGTAACACCAACTCCTTTTAGAAACCATTTAACTTCTTACAACACAAAACAAGAGCACAGGATCAATTTCTCAATACATCTCTGATAGTGAACTATACTCCTTTTGTCACAAAATAACTATCGTTTTTTAACTTTAAGTTTATTATTTTTTTATTTTTTAAAGCGGATCAATATTTTTTTTCTACTTTAACTCTATCATTATCTTATTCACTTTAAATTAATTATTCAATTAAAAAAAGTTAAAAAAGGACAATTATTTTGAGATAGAGAGAATACTAAACTGCTACTACTACTCCGGGGACATTACTCAAATGTTATATGCTTTAAAACATTAGATTATGTGATATCACAATGTTATTTTGATTAGAAATTCCTAAAATATGAGAATTTTTTATGGCAATGTTACTATAAACAAGTGAAAAGTATAGTAAATTAGAGTCATTTGCATACCAAGCCATTAATAATTCTGTAATATTCAGCACCACCAACAAGGATAATCTCAAAAATCACAGCAAAGACAAGATTGATTGGGATATTCCTTCCAAAGTAGTTCAATGTGTTTCCATCAAGGAGAAGAGCTCCAGTCTACACTCATGAAAGGCGAAAATCACATAAGAAATCTTTGTATTTTTGAGTAATGTTGCGAATAGAAAATTAATAGAGTGATGATGCACACTCACCTTGAACCAAACGGCTTCAGGGCCACAGTTGGCACCATATTTGTTGAGGGCTTCAGGGATGATGAAGCCGGCAGCACCAAGCATGGCCCATCTGCCATGAATCAGCTCATATGCTTGATATCTGCATTCAAATGAACCCCATGATGTTCAATGTTGTTAATTTCTTTCCCAAATTCAATTAAATCTAAAAGTAAATATTTTGTTTTGAAAAGATTAGACATGTATACTTGCTGAAGTCTTCTGGCTTCTTGCTAAGTCCAAAAGGGTCATATCCATAGCTGCATGCACATAAAAGCAGAGCAAAATATTGAATCATTTAAATCCTGCATATCCACATTCAGCCACAGGAAGCTTGAATTTTACCGGAGTTAGGCTACTTACTCTCCGGGAACCTCTCCGGTCAAGTACGCTGGGATCTCTGACCTGTCCAGGAGTCCCTCCGGCAAAAAGATTCTTCTGTCAGGACCTGAAAGACCACCGAAAACACAACAATTAGACAATACAGAGGAAATTAATGGCAAGTTCAAACTTAAGATCTCTAACTTTAGAAATTTCAGACTCTTAATGTTGAGAAAAAGGGAGATTTTTGACATGCAAATTAAGAAACAAACTCAAGAGAAGGAAATGTTCTTTTTACTTACCATACCACTTGGCGAGTTCTTCATTGGCTGGGGAGATGGGGGCGGGTTTTGACTTGGGAGGAGGAGCAGCCTTCTTCTTGGAGAAAAGAGCAACAGGCTTAAAGATGACTGGCCTTGATGCTGGTGGGGCGGATGTCCTGGCAGCTCCACTGAAGTTCAGAGGGTTCCCAAACATTTCCGAAACACCAAGGGAGGCTGCGGCGGTGGATGCTGCCAGTGAAGCCATCTTTGGAGGAGGTTCTGGCGGTGGTGGAGTTGTTGGCTTAGATTTTTGTTAAGAACAAGAAAAGTATTGTAGTAATGGAGAATAGGGAGAGGGAGAAAGGAGATACTATAAGGTTAAGCTGGTGGTTGTGAACATGCCACTGTGGATTTCTGGTTACTGGTGATTGGTTGGTTCAGGAAGATTTGTAATCTAATGCTCGAATGTGATAGGGTGGACTTGCTGACACGGCAGATTATGGTGCTGACTTGGCACGCTCCTGAATTTTGAGGATTGCATGGGATCTGGATAACATGTCTTATCTATATAATGTCTCATGTACAAATTTCCCATAATCCATCATTTTTGTGGATATTCTTCACTCATGTTTGGGTCCACTATTTACCTCACCTATCTTCTAGTCTAGCATTATAAATTTAGGTATATTATTATTAAATATATTACATATGATGAATGAAAAAAGGAATTTGTTTATTACTAATACAAGGAAAAAAATATTGATATATAAAGTAAATTCTCTAACCAATTTTTTTATTAAAAAAAAAAAAACCAACAGGAAGGTAAAACAAAGTATAAACTTGATGACATCCAGTTCAAGAAAACCGGATGAAATCCTAGTCTTCTTTTGAACAGGAAAAAGAATTTAATTGAAGATGGAATAATTCATACCGCAGAAGCAACAGAGGGTTGAAAAACAACATAGAAAACCTGATTATTATGCATGCACGGTATGAAAAACTAGTTCATTGTGCACACACACAAAAAAAAAAAAAAAATTCCGGTTACCAGGCATAGCGATGAATAATTAACCAATATAAAGTATCATACTCATGGGGTACTGCTGCTGAGGACAAATGTTCATCTCAACTGAGGCAACTTTAGATTCTAGAACAGGCAACATAACCATGCCTGTTGGTGTTACCAATAATTAACATTCGTTTTTGTCCAACCAATCTAGAATAAAATTTCTGAAAAATCTATAAGGTAGAATCATCCATGCTTGCCACACAGCATGAACACAAGATAGCTAGTTTCTATAATTTCAAAAGCACATGCATATTTGTAGTTCTATAGTCTCAGAGCAGAGTACTGTACTAAAGAGCTAATCAGTGAAATTTCATTTTACACTCTGAAACCTGCAAACTCAATTCATCTCCTCCACTTGTCAATTTCTTTTGAAGTAGCTCTGGCTAGCTTCTTGGTATTAAGAACAAGCTCATCAATAAGGGCACTGATATCATCCCTGATAACACCAAGAGAAGAAACTAATGTTATTTATGATATCTCATAAGTAACCACCCTAAAACATGGTTTGAGTGTGCCAACAAGCAGCTAATTTGTCATGCCAACATCCTTATGGTTCCTTATGACAAAGTTACCAATTGTAATTGATTAAGCCACTTTTTAAAAGTTCAGGGTTAACAGTAATAAAAATGCAAACCTAAGAACTTAACTGCACAAAATTGAAACTTGTATGGTGTGTCTACTGTAATAGAAATCTAATTGCTGTGATATTTGAATAGAGAACTTCCAAAAGAAAAACCAGAAAACAAGGCTAAAATTTCAAATTGTTCCCCTTGTCAGCCACTTTGTTTATTGATGAGCATCGAAATATTGTTATTTCAGCGACAAGATAGATTCCATACTTGGTACCTTTTCCCAGTTGCATTATCAAAACTTTGGGGGATCAAAGTGTGTTTGATGGCATAAACATACAGAAACGAACAAACATAGAAAGATGAAAGAGAAATCAGAAGAAAAATTATGCTTACTGAGAAGGAAGATTTTGTGAATCTAACAACTTTCCAACATTAGAATACGTCTTATGCTCATCATGAGCTATGCCTGTCCCAACACCATAACCAAATCCCAAGCCAACGCCACATCCAGCACCAAATCCAAAGCCTACTTGAAAGCCAGGAACTCCAAGACCAAATCCCGCACCTGATGAGGAAAAACATTTCAGCATCTAAAGCAGTTAAAAAAATTAATCAAACATCAGAATAATGGAAAATTATATCAGCAAACAAGTCAACCTAAGTGCTGATTGTTCGAGTGAAGTGTCAGAAACTTAAACCAGCATATGTGCCAATAACAATAGAGATTTCTTAGTTTAAGTAACAATTAATATTAACAATCGAAAAGATCTACTTTAAAATCATTAACTACTATCCCATTTCCTAGACGTCCTCTGCAAGACAAATAAAATACAAGAAGAATCCCATAAGAAGAGAACCAAATACAAGTTGTTCCCAAACACTAAAAATTCTTAACAAATAACACATGCAATACACGACATAGCATCCCAACCTCTCACATGACTAAGTAGTAAAGATTTTCTTTTTATTTAACATTGGTGTATCCATACCAATGTTAGATGGAATCATCAAGATGAACCTCCGCAAAATGAATGTTGCTAATTTTAACAACTAGGGTCTCCATAAAAACAAATCCTTTCATTGACCAATCAATACAAATAAGTTAATAACAGCATTCTACCAAACCCAATGCCAGCAAAAGCCACAAGGTGATACCTTTGCACCTTGAAAGGGCAATTGAATACAAAACAGGCACAATCAAAAGAAAAGGATGATATAGGGACCTGAATCCTTTGTTACATTGTTAATATTCAATTTTTCAACCAAATTAAAGCAACCCATCTAGAATTTTGGCTTGAAAGATGGTGTTTGAGAAGTATAAAGAGGCAAAATTGAATGAAAAATAGAAGTGGGCAACAGCAATACCTCCGATGAGACCAATGCCAAAGCCAAGACCACAGCCGGCGCCGAATCCAAAAGCAGGGCCAACTTTGCCAAGTTCCTTAAGCTTGACTTGCGGCAACTTCCAAATCAAACCCCGATCATCTCCCACCTCCTCTTCTCTCCTTTGCCTCCGGCGGTTGTTGTTCATCTTCCCGTCTCTGGAACCGTCTCTGTGGGGTTGAAGCTTGATGCCTGTGGAGAAATGTAACCAGAGGAAGAAGGAATGGAGGATTTTAACTTTGGAACTTGATTTTTGAAACTTGAATTCAGAGAAGTAAGTTGAGCGTACCGCCTCAGTGATGGGCTTTGGAGTTTGGGCACATTTTTTCTCCTTTTTCTTGGTTTTTCTTTTTCTTTCTTCCTTTTTTTTTTTTTTCCCCTAACCATGTTTTTTTTTTAACTTAATTTTGCTATCTATAATTAAGTTTAGATATTTTTATATGAAATTTAATTAAAATAAAATGTTTAATTTAAAATAAAAATAAAATAAAAAAGTTATATTTAAAATCTTTAAAAAAATATGAATCTTATATAAAATTTATATAAAATTAATTAGTAATACTATAATTCATGAAACAGGTTACACAACCCTTAGGTTTTTTCCTTTTTCCTTTTTTTTTTTTCCTTAAACCATGTTTCTCTGATTAATATTTTCTCATTATGCTAACAAAAAACGGATTTCAAAAAATTTTCCCCAAGAATATCAAAAAATAAAGTTTTTTTTACATCATATGATGAACTAAACAATAATACATAGTTTTTCCCTTCCCTTAATCACTCCCCACTAGTTTTAATGTTTAAATTGAAGATTTCTAATTTAAAGTTTTAAAATTTTAATCACTTTAAACACGTCTTAATGAAAAAATAAATTTTCTTTTAAAAGGCAAATAATCTTTGATTTTTGAAATAAAAAGACACGTACATAAACACACAAAATAAAACTACCAAAACTGATAAATACATGTGGAAAAATCTAATTTTTCCAAAACAAAGAACAACGAAAAAGGGAGGTCTATTTTTATCAAACCAAAAATGGGAAGTTTATCTTAGCATTATTATATTTACTTATTTAGTTCATAGAGAGATTTATCAAAATCAGAATTTAAGAAATTCAAAACAAGGGTCTTAGATAGAAAATGGGTAATGATATTAAGAAATATTTTTGTGTAATTTTTTAATATAATTTTTATATGTTATTAAATGAAAAAATACATATAATATCACATATTTAAGTAAAGTGAAAAGAGTAAATTATTAAAAAAATTTATTTAATTTATACTCTTAAGCATATGTTCATAGTATATTAAATATACCTTTTTTTTCATAATTTATCTTGCAAAAATAAAAACTAATGTTTAATTTATTAATTATTTAATTAAATTCATTTACTCGAGTCGATACTAAAATTAATAGCAATTTTTATATTTTTTTATATGTATTTATGATAAAAAAAATCTATTATTTAAAAAACACATAAACTTGTATGAAAAATTATAGAAAAAAATCATTTCTGAATTATTTTCAGATAGAAAAACTTTAAATGAAAAATCATTTGTGAAGAAAAAAGCTTATTATTAGCTTGTAATTCAGGTTAAAACTGGAACCAATTAGGGAAATTTATTTATTTGGTTAGAGTTTTTAATTTTTACAAAAGTGAAATCTTCCACCATGATTCCATCCCTTTGAAAATCAAAACATCTGGTTTTCAGCTTTGATTTTTAAAATTTTATTTTAAATGTGATAAAATCAGTACCAAAATAAAAAATTCAAAAACAAAAATCAAATATAAAACCAAAAAAATGCATATGGGCCCTTTGGAATGATGGGCCGGGCCACCTTAATCTACATAGTTTAGGAGTCAATGTCAGGCGCAGAAGATGGAGGAAGGACATGGGTAGTGCAGAAGCTGCGGTGTTCTGCTCAAATCTTGCAACCAATCTTCATTCTGCTCCGTTCTTGAACTCGAATTTGCCGAAACTCAACTTGTTCTCAATCCCACCACCGAAAGCTTACTCTTTTCCTTCAATAAGATGTCGTCCTGTCCTTGGTTCTCCCGTCTTTGGAGCTTCACCGTCATCAGATGGTACCCATGTAATGGTGGAAGACGATCTCCAGGCATTCCTTCAGGTGTCTTCTTTCTCTCCATTGCTTTTCCTCAACTGGGTTTTGGTTCTTCTTGTTAAAATTTTCGCCTTTACTTGCTATGACTTGGCAATGTACTCCTGTTCCCACTATTTTAAAATGTTTGTGTGTGTGTAGTTCAGCTCTTTGGGTAAAAATTTGTTTGTTTAAGCTTCTTCACTTACGTATACTTGTTTTCAAATGTATGTCTTTATGGTAATCTTTTTGCTCAAGCTTCTTGATTGTAATTGCTTCTTCTTGTTGTTGTTGTTGTTCTTGTTATTTCCATTGGATGGTTCTATCATAATTACATTTACACATAGTCTGGAATGGTAGAATGTTACATGTTTCAGATTGGCCCTGTGGAAAATTAATAATCTCATTTATGGTTGACAGCTGAAATGAGGATATTAGGGAAATATATTTACTAAATGTACTTTTTCACTTGATTAATTTTCATTCTGAATTGAATTGGCATCGCCATTTTGTCCTTATTGCAGATTCTTCCACTGGATTTACGGGGTATTCTCATAGATGAACCTAAGAGAGACAAACTTCTAGAGGTGACCTCTCTTTAATCACTAATTTTCTCTAAACGTTTTCTCTAGAGACAAACTTCTAGAGTTGGCTTTGCTTATTAATTATTTTGTTCATGTTAATTCCTACTAAAAATGTTCAGCTATACTTTTTGTGTTCCAAAATATAATGCCTATGAGCTGTTATGTAAATAGGTTATACTTGACCTGGGTCGGCTGCCAGAGGCACGCTATTTAGGTGAACCTGGTGGACAGTATTTGAGGAATACTGAGGTAAGCCAATGTCTTACAGTCAATTATTTTAAACAGGTTATTCAAGTGCTTACAGTCATTCTATCTTTCCAGTAGTAGTTTCACTTACAATCTCCTCTTGAGGGAAAAGAAATTGTTTGTTTTGGACTTTATTGACTGACAGGGCAGCAATATATATGATTGACATTATAAATTTAAACCTCAAGGAGGAGAATAAAACTTATTAGAGAAAAAGGAAGTCATATTCAGTGGTTTTAGTTACCCATTATAGATGTCTATTAGCTAGGTATCAATGAAAGAGTTGGAGGATGCTCAAAATGCTGTTGGGGAATTTGGAGGGGACAATAGAGCTGGAATTGAGGGTACCCTGCACAGAATATCAGCAATTAGGAGTAGGAAGGGGGAAATAGTTGGTTTGACATGCCGAGTTGGCAGGGCAGTCAGTGGTCACATTGACATGGTTCATGATCTGCTTCACTATGGAAAGAGCATCCTGTTTGTTGGAAGGTAAGCATGCTACTTTTATGGAAATATAAAATCAAGATGCTGATTATGCAATAAGAATTACACAAACTAATGATTGGGGCAATTAGGAACAAGTACAGTCATTTTACCATGTCGGACTTGTCTCAGACAGGAGTCTGATTTATTAAAATTTTGCAAAAGAATATGATTGTTTCAAAAATAACTTTTTCCCCTACTTAGAATTCACTAGCTATTAGAAAACTCCTATCAACTCAAAAGTAACTTCTTATTTTACTTTATAGGCCAGGAGTTGGCAAGACTACTGTCATGCGGGAAATTGCACGTGTTTTATCGGATGAATTTCACAAAAGAGTGGTGCATATCAATCCTTGGTTTCTCTCTCTGCTTCTTTCTGACTCATGTGCTTTTAGCATTACAAGACTTGTTTTGGTAATAATAACTGTTATAGGTGATTGTTGATACAAGCAATGAAATGGGAGGAGATGGAAATATTCCCCATGCTGCAATAGGAGGTGCACGGAGATTGCAGGTCCCTGAACCATCTTTGCAACACAAAGTCATGATTGAGGCAATAGAGAATCATATGCCTGAGGTGATAGTTGTTGATGAGATTAGCACAGAAGCTGAAGCACTTGCTTGTCGCTCAATTGCTGAGAGAGGTGTCATGCTTATTGCTACAGCTCATGGAGAGAGGCTTGAAAATATAATGAAAAATCCCACACTCTCTAACCTGGTTTGTTCAATTTCTGATAAAAAGTTCTTAATCTGAATTTCTTTTGGGGGTCCAAACCAAATTTTTTTATGTCTTCATCTTTAAACTTCTTTGTGGATCGCTAAGATTTAATGCAGCTCTAATGGAAGAAAGTGGGGACAAAGCTTCAGTTCTGATTGTTTACTGATTTCAGATTGGGGGAATAGAAACTGTTACTTTAGGAGATGAGGAAGCTCGAGCTAGGAGGTGTAAGAAAAGTGTCCTTGAGAGGAAGGGTCCACCAACATTTTACTTTTTGATTGAGATGAGAGAAAGGCATTATTGGATTACACACAGGGTATGTTTTTTTTACCATCTTTCTTATAGTGACATTAAATTGCATCTCTAGCACTATTACACTTGATGCTTTGGATCAGGACAGATATGCTGAATTTGTCTGTGAGTGATTGTCTTGAATAATACTGCCCTTTTTTTTTTCTTGATAATGTTCCTCTTTTGGTCTGCAGACAGAGAAGAGTGTGGATATGTTGCTTCGCCAAAGAAACCCATTGGTGGAGGTAATTTTTAATGTATACATATGAAATATAGAATTTTATCACTAGTGTTAATCTTAATGGTTGATGTGGACCATATGGCCTGAGAAAGAGCCAGATAAGAGGAAAACATTCAAGCAATCAATCCTAAAGAGATTGAATAGATTGCTAACACACTTTTACTTAATTACTGTTACCATTTTCAGTTTGATGAACCAAATTGTTCCTAATTTCTCATAATGGTTCTGTGACTTCTGTCCTGTGAAGAATTTGCAATATCACTAGTTTATTATTCTTGACCTACACATGCAACCAAGGGTAAGAATGTGTAACTCTTGGTTTTGCAGGTCAGAAAGAGAGATAATCAGTTCAAGATAGTAGTTGAAAGATGGAAGCCATATGATGGGCATGACATTTGACCCCAGTTCGAGTTCTGATGCCACTTACTGTAAGCCCAGCAGGCTTTCAATATTGCTTTGGCTAATTTTTGTAGCAAATTTATAATTGCTGATAGTCACCATCTTCTATCAAGCCAAACACACAAGTTTTCTTATAAAGAGACGTATCAACTAATATTAAACCATACCAAATTCTTGATTGAGAAAAATGGATATGAATGTTGATAAAAGGACACAAGATGGGATGTGGAAAGGCCTTTTATCATCATAGTCAGCCGGCAGCATCTTGTAATCCTAAACCATAACTCTTATCACTTTTATCCATTTCATGTTTGTATTATTATATGTGCAATCAAGATCGATCATATTCTGCCTACTTATTCCAGTCCCACAAGGCATGCAAGTTAGGGACGTTTCCTAAGTAGCCATGAAATGTACCTCTCCTATATTGTCATATTCTACAAAAAAATTGAAAATTTTTCATAATTTGCCATAAACCATTTCAAAAAAATCTATAGGCCGGGGGCCTCTTCCGGCCTTGTTTTGCCCATTCTTTTGTCTTCAACATATCAAGTATGATTCCCCATATTTTAAATTGGGACGGCTTTTGTAGTCCTTATTTGTTAAAGCAGCTTGCAAAGTCGTCCTTAATCTTTAAAACCAAGCAGTTTTTTAATAACCTTTTAAAACATTGAAGGCAGTCCTTTTCTTCTATGAAGACTTGTTCGAGATAAGAAAACATTATAGAAATGAAAAGAAAAAAAAAGCTATATTGGCAAATCATATGTAAGGTATCTTTTTTATCATTTATTTAAAAGAGTTTGGGTGGCAGGCTGCATGAATTTTCAATGTTGTTTTATGTTTTATGTTTTTTTTTTTTTTTTTTTTTTTTTTTTTTTTTTTTATTAAGCTCTTGGTATTTGGTAACCATATTGGATTTCGATTAATTTGGAATCAATTATGTTAGACCCATTAAGAGGAAAGTTCTCTCAGTGTCTATTTCTCTATTTACAAAACTCGAACTCGAGATCTTGCTTAAAGAGAACCGAATTTCTTTCACTCGGACCAACAAATCGTTAGTATGTTGTTTTATATATTGTTTTTTTTTATGTTTACTTACTAGTTGCTAAAATGGTAATCTCATTAATTATGTTAAGTCTATGTCAAAGTTCGTTTTATACCATGGGTTATACCACATTCAATTTTTCCATGCCCAAAGATATGGGAATAGGGTGGCTTACGTGTTTGCTCATTTGAGTTGCTCTGTGCCTGTACTAAACTACAAGGTAAATGAAATGATTTCATATTTGATATATATATATATAAGTATGTACATAAAAGATTATTTTA